TGGTTCAAAATATTTTAAATAAAAATAATTTCTGATTTTCTTAAAATAAGTTTTGAAAAAATGATAATTGATATTTAAAATAATTTCAAAGTGAGATTCCAGTTTTTTTATAAAATGAAAAAAAATTGCCAATTTTGCTGACTCAAAAAAACCAAGATTTTTAACGAAAATTTTGGACGTGCTAGGAACGATTAAAAAATGGAAAATATACCCCAAAAATACTTCTTTTCCTATTAATAATAACATAAACATTTAGACGATAAAATTTTGTTTTCATCAAGTTTGGCATCTTTTTCATCATGCTATACTCTTTTTTTAGTGGTCTCATGGAGGTACCTAATTTATATATATATATATATATATACACATATATATTAATCTGAGGCTAGTTTTCTGTGGGGCTTTGTTCTTGTAAAACTGAACTAGACCTTTGCCATAAGAACATTATCAAAATTATAAATTGATCATTTACAACAATAACACTAATAGTAACTAAATCTACTGATTCCAACACAAACTATGTTCAGCAAATAATATATATATAATGTGTGTGTGTGATGAAACCTTTAACTGAGTGGGAATTTTCCAAATAATTTGTTCTAATCTTTCGATCATTTGGTGTAATCTTGCAAATTCCACTCTGTGTTGTTTGTGGATTTTATTTTCAGTGCTGGTCTCTGTAATCCTTTTCTGTAATTGAATTCTTATTTTTCGTTTGTCTGATCATCTCTTTATCAACATGAATCCCTGTTTGTGTCTTTGGTTAAGCCATGAATTGATTGTAGTTTTACCTTATTATTTTCATAACTGGTTTCTCATCACAATTCTTGAGTCAACCAACTCATTTCTTGACTCTATCACTTTCAATATAACACATTTTTTTGTCACAATAGTTAATGCTTGTCACTTCAGTTAGTGTACTAATTTTCATTACAATAGCTTCTGATAACAAAGTTAAAGAAATAGACAGTTTGTATGCCTTTCCCCATACTGTGTACATTTGACAGCATTTTTACAATAGAAACTGGTAAATTCAACTTTGAAAATTTTATATCACATCAATTCCTAAGTTTAGTAGCAACAAAAATGCTCATTAATTAAAATTCTGTTAAAATTACTCAACTCATCATCATTTATCAGCACTTTACAATTGAACAGATTTTATTACATAACAAAACTAAACACTCAAAAACGAATTGTTTAAAGAGAACTACTCAAATTATTTAAAATTTTTCCCAAGTTTAAAGTTGTCTGATGTACAATATCTTTACATTGATATTGAAAGAGATATTTTTTACGAGTTCAATCCATTCTGGATATCAATTCTCTCAATGCTGTGAGACAGATATACTGAACATTATTCAACATATTTAAGCGTAATCCTCATAGCCATGATCTTTGCTAAAGCAGGATCTGGATTAATCCCACATATAGCAAGGTGAGTCCTACCTGACAGAGGATCTCTATCATAATGATTTCAACCAAGGTTTTACAAGGCCAGATGCTCTTTCCAACACCCAACTCAGAGTCTAAGTACAGCCAGTATTTTTATCAAGCCACTCCCTAGGAAGAATATCATTCAAGGCTTGCGACATCTTTCTAAATATAAAATTATATACCATTATTATTATATATATATATATATATATATATATATATATATATATATATATAACAGTATGTAATAATTTTGTGTATTATTTTTTTAAATTGTCCTTTTGTGTTCATATAGTCTTTTGTTTAAACTCTTTGAGATTTCTTCAGTGTATTCAATCTGGCAATCCCCGCCATTGATAAAATAAAGTTTCATCAGAATGGACTTGGTTGATGTTGCTGTTTACACATGCACATGAAATGAGAAACACTGGTAGTGTGAAAATTTTTGAAAGAAGATTTTAATCTAGCCAAATTCATCTATATTCTTTTTCTATCCATCAACATTGTCACAACAGAATATCTACCAAGAATGATAATATGTTGTAAGAGCCTTGACGCAAATTTACCATATCTGGGCTAGTGATCAATGCACTTTCTATAATGAAACTGAAAACAATTTTAACATTTTATTTCACTAATAAATCTTTCTTCTATAGCTTTCTTCTGTTAAAAACATAAAAATTTACCTGTTTTATAACTTCTACCCCTATGCTGGAAAATAATTAATTATTTATCCACTTTTTTTAAAATTTTGAGCCCCTTTATATGATACAGGTCCAAGACTAACATAATGCAGCCCTAAGCCTAAAAATATCTCATATAAGGTTTTAAGTGTGTCTGTGTATGAGTTTGTTTCTTTATTTTTGCATCTGTGATTGCACATGTGAAGATTCATGTGATCATCATGCCCAGACTACATGCAACCTAAAGATTACGAGTTTCCACCATTTTCCATCCTGTACAACTAGTAAAAGTGATTGTTTGATTTCAAATCTATTTTAACGTTGAAATCCACACTTATATACAAGTATAGAATCAGAGAGTGGTAGAAAAAGAGTTATTATCAAATAAATCTATTTACAATGCAGTGAGTTTTAAATCTTGGTTATTTTTTTTTTTCATTCTGTTTACTGACCCCTCCCCCCACCTCCTCTTTGCATCTTTGTTTATCTCATATGTACAAACAAGTCACAAAAACATTGCCACACTAGGAAAGAAGCTTAACATGAGCATTACCACACCAAACAAAACCAACATATCAAAAGTAATTGAACTAAATGCAATTTTCTGTCACATTGCAAAGTCATTCTCAAATCTCCCTATTTTCAATTTTCAGGCCTGAATTTTCTTTTCAGCTTACTTCAAGGCATTTGGAAACATCAGTTCTCGTACTCATCTAATCTGGTTATGTTTGTTGTAGGAACCTTCATCTGTTGTTTTTAAATCACATTTTGCAATATTTGTAAACACAGTGAAATTCAATACTGTCTGTAATGTCTTGCAATGGTGGATCTTGTTCAAATAGCAATAAAAAATATGCCACTTAGAATTTCTTCTTACCACAAAGATATTTTACTGTTTCTTAACTAACTTTTGCTAAAATCATTTGTGGAAAACTAAAATTAAATAAACAGAAATAAATAGATGATAGAAGGAATGCTCAAAATAGATTTTTTTTTTTTTAGATGGCAACCCACAAATATTTGATGCTGTTTCCTTTTCTAATGCAAATTTTATTCAAGAAAATATTTTCAGTTGCAAACCAACGAAAAAAATAGTTTTCAAAATTAGGAAAGAATTCTATGACCAAAGAGTTCATTGATATATAAAGTAAAAATAATAATAAAAACAATAACTTTAATTTTATTGACCAAGATATTTCTTTCTGAATTTCTGAGAGTAGAAATTATCCTTATTTACACTATTTACACTCAAACTATTGCCACCATCTTTGTTGTTGTTATCACAATGTTTTAGCAGCTCTGCCCTCTGTCCTTCATCAGGTATATCATCATCTCAGTAACCTATAGGGAGTTTTGTACTACGGTACAATAACCTAGTGGATTAAATAGTAGGTTTGTAAATTTGGTGACATAGCAACTGTGACTTGAATCCCTGGGCAGGGCTGGGCAATGTGTAATTGAACTCATTCAAACAGGGGGAGCAATAACTAAACTGTACTAAAAATAAGAAATAGAAAACAGACATAGACAAGGAAATGAGGATTCTTTATTCCTGTAGATTAAATAAACAATTCAGTTCAGGATTCCCTTTTAGATTACCCGATGAAGGCCAGAGCACACAATGACCAAAATATAGTGATTACAATAGTCCACATGTAAATTGTGTAAATAACAAAATTACAGTTTTGTTCTACTATATTCTGCTATTTTTAGACAGCCTTTTTTATGTGCTGCATCACTTTATTGTAAAACATTAAGGCCCTTAACAACTTTCTATCTGTTGTAGCTCTTAGCAATGTCTGTATTTCTTACTATTGCTTGCAGTCCCTTCTCTCCCATTCATTTATACAAGCTCATTAGGTAGGCTACTAAGTGTTTCACTCTATCCCTCTTTCCTTTTGTCCTGTGTGTGTCAAATTTCTAAGCTGTTTCTCTTCATCATGAGTCCCAGAAATTTCAAATATCTCTTTCTGATTCTAAATATAAGTGTCTGTTTTGTTTCGAATTTCTTTTAAACTTCCTTGTTACATGCTCTATCCATGATATCCTCAGCATCCTTCTGTAGAGCCACATCTCATCTCCTCTTCATTTGTGAAGATGTTCAGTATTCACTGTCACATAGATTGATATTCCATAACAGTTCAGCTCTGTTTTTTTTTTTTTTTTTTTTTTTTTTAATGAAAACTTTGTTTTTTAACCTGTTCTTTTTTTTTTCTGTGCAAAAAACTGCTTCAGGCACCTTTTGCAGCTTTCCAAGAAATTGAATTTTTTTTCTTATCAAGAGAATTCTATAAAGACATGTATAAAAGGCAATCAAAATATGCAATATCTGGTGATGGAAAAGATTTTAGCTGAGTTTTATCAATTTATGCCTGTTCACCAAATAAACATGTTGTCTAGCATTATCCTGATAGAATATTATAACATTTCCATGAACCAATTTTGGATGTTTTTCTTCAATTAATACTGCTGTCTTCTTTTATGTATCATGTTTTTCAAGATGTGAGTGTTCATAGTTCCCTACAACATCCTACATTTGTCGATCTAAGTAACTTTTTCCCCTCATTATGTGTCCAGAAATTTCACCTGTGTCTTTCTGATTTTAAATATAAGTGCCTGTTTTGTTTATACTTAAAACTTCCTTGTTATTCACATGCTCAGTCCACGGTATCCTCAGAATCCTTCTGTAGAAAGGTGTAGATTTAGTTTTTGATAATTTGCCACATACTTCCATAGCTTTAGCCTCTCATTATGTACTGTTTTTTTTTTTTTTTTTTAGATACTTCAGTTAATTTTTTACGACACCTCAAAAACTGACATCAAAATATAAAGTCGGATTTTCTCAACCTCCTCATCACACACATTTTATTAAAACAGGCTTACAGCCATATCACATTGAAAGACCGATTCTTGTACGATCACCAAAGTTAAGCAATGTTGAGCCCGGTCAGTACCTAGATAGCTGACTGCTTGGGTATACCAAGTGCTGTAAACTTGGATGTGCCAGTGGTGTAATGGATAATGCCTTGGAATTGTTAATTGGATAGCTGAGTTCCAATTCCATTTGGGTTCATTATATTTACTTATGCAAAAATATCCTTGCAAAAGGTATGAATCCATGTCTTCTACTCCCAGCTATGGGTTAATTAGTATTAATATATAACTTGTATCACTAAATCATTATCTAAAAAAAAAATATTCTTGCAAACTGAAAATATTTTCTGGCTTTAAATAACCTGCAAATGGTTGATAAAACATAAAAAAGGAATCAAAAAACATTGATCAAGTGAGAGTGGACAATGTATTTTCAAATTCCCCTCTGAAAGTAGAAAAATTATCTGAAACATAAAAAAATTAAATTTAAAAAAATGCTTATGGGCACTAAAATCATTATTTCCAAAAGAAATTCTTACAATCTAAAAATATTTACTGGCTTTAAATCACCTGCAAATGTTTGATAAGCTGTAGAAAATGAATTGATCAATTTTTCTTCAAACAAAGGAGAAAAGAATACCATCTCTCTGCCTACTCTACTCTCCTATTCCCATCATCTTTGTGTGAATTTCAAATTTTGCATTGCTACAGCAGAGTAAATCTAAATTTGATTTGACTCTTGTCTGGATGAAAGCAATGAATAGTATTTTTTTTGAGTCAGATAGAAACAGATATATAGAGAGGAGAACAAGAGTTTTTTTTTCTTTATCTATGAAGAATTAAAGGGATTAATTAGATACAAAGACAGTATTAATTGGTTAAATAAAGTGATACTTTCATAAAAATGATCAGTCACTGAATTCATTCTGATCAAAACAAATTTCACGCTTTTTAAAATCCCTTATGGGCCACATAATCGAGTCTTGTAGGCCACATTTTTTGCAAGCCTTCAGTATTAAAACATTGGTTTCTGAATTTGATGGCATAGTAATTCTGAGTTCAATCCCTGTATTGAGTAGTACAGACTCAGGCTTAGTGGAAACAAAATTAACAATAATTGAGCAGGAGTGTAAAAGAACAATATGAAATATTCTAAGATAAAGATAATAGAACAAGGTCAATCTGCCATGTAGATTAAATAAGGGTTCAATTCCCAGAAGGTTATCCACATTGAAAAATACACTAAAAGGCCAGAATTCATACCTGTTAAAACTTTATGATCATAACAACAAGGGCATATGGTCCAGTGGCTAAAAGCATTGATTGGCTACAGATGAGGTGAGCAAAACTTGTTGAGTTAAAAGGGAGAAAACTGATACTGAGACATCCAGAAAAGGTACGTAGAACTAGAACAATCTACTTCAGTGAACAAAAATGAAAATTTCTAATCACTTGAAGAAGGTCAGTGTGTACAATGGTTGAAATGTCATGAATATGACATTGAAGATGAAGACAACAGTCCAAACGATGTAAATAGTGTAAATAAATATTTGAAGATCAGCCTGACAATAAATAATGCAAATGTCCCAGAAATTTCAGCTGTCTTTTTCTGATTTTAAAAGTCCTTGTAGTTCCTATTTTTCTTAAAATGTATTCATTGCTTACATATTTTGTCCAAGATATTTACAGCATTTGTCAGTAGAACAACATCTATGTCAGTACAAGTATCTTCATCATTTATAAGGAAATTATTCACTTCCATATGGGAGATTAGTTATGGCATAGCAGTTCAGCTCATTTTTCTTTATTTCTGATAACATTTTTCTATCAAACCATATAATAATTATCAATGTGTATTTATATATTTCCTGTCCCATTTGTAGTGGGAAGGGAGGTAAATCAACTTAAGTTCCTAAATTTATCAGTGATTACTTCACTTAGTCATTTTAATAATCTATTCAAAAAATATTTATCTGCATATCTGATAGCTTAATAAGAATTAAAGAGAGGGCAGTTGGTCAATGCTGAAAGGTCATTGGTTGCTGGGGACATCACTAAAATGCTTAAAATTTTGGAACCAGTAGTCAAGCTACCAAACTGGAAATAGGTGTATAGAATGGTATCCAGTTGTGGTGAGTTTGATCAGCTTTGATTGGATTGACTGGCAAAAGGGGTCTAATGTTCATCGAATACAAGGCTCAAGAGCCACTCAAAGTAGATAACTGAATTAAATGGGTGATATGAATGTAAGAAAAAGAAAAATAGTGAGAATTATGGGAATATAGAATATGGATAATGATGGATCCTACACTTGAAGAAATTAAGATTTTAATGTTTGGGGAACATACACATAGGGGTCTGTTTCACAGAGTAGCAGTTCTTTGGAAAAATGCTTAGTGGAATTTCCTTCTTTCTTTTATTTTATATTTTTACTTAAGTTCACCTAATAAAATCGACAAGCCACTCAATGAATTCGGTTAACAAGTGAGATAGTTGTAAGAGTGTAAGTTAGGGGACAGGAAGAAGTAAGAACAGCATATTACGCGTATATGTTGGATAGATAATTTTATGAGCATAGACTAAGAGTGTAGTTGTTGGGGAAGCATACTCTCAGGGGCACTGTTCTGGGGAAGAAACTGTGGAATATGAAAGGAATGAAGATAATTTGATGCCATGAACATGGCATGGCAGATCCTAGCTGTGAAGGTGTGAGAGGATATTGAAAAAACTCAAAACCCCTAATGACCCTGTTTACAAAATATCATTGTCAACATATCTCCAGTACATCAGAAAACATATTTTTTCCAAATAACCTTATTAGAATTTTGCTTATCCCTCCCTTAATTCCTTCGCACATATGTTACTTTTTTTTCCTACCAATACTACACAATAAACTATTCCATTTTGATTGCATGGAAAGACCGAAAAGACATACCAGAGACACTATTCTATTTGGTTTCAGTGAGAAAATGAAAGAAAGAAAGAAGATAGAAGAGGCAATAACACTCTCAACACCTGTTTCAGTGAAATGGTAAAAGTTTCCAATTTAAAATATTTTCATTTGTACCCCCTTACTTCTTTAAATAATGGCCAGCACTCATATTTATGATTGTTTATACAATATTTTCCTAAAGTTGATCAGCTCAAATATTTAACACTGTGATAGAGATATTTCTACGAATATTTTATTCTCATAGAACTTGCCATGAACTTATTCATTCATTAACTTTTGAATGATGATTAATCAGAAAATTCAAATAGGAAAACTGAAATTTTCAAATTTTCTTAAATAGAAAGGAACAACTGCTCTAATTTGTTTCCATGTTACAGCCTTGAGAAATGAATATTTCTTGCATATGATTTTTGTATTTAAGGGTCAGAAGCAGAAGTAACAATAAAACTTTCCCTTCATACCATTTGTAGCAAATCTATGGAAAAAAAATTTAAACTATATTGCTTTCTTCAACATTGTGGTCAAAAAAGTAAAAAAAAAAAATCAGTCTGTTGAGATATTTCTTGGGAAGATATGATTTATATTTGAGCTATTTGGCAGTAACATACTCGGTCTAATAATTTAACTCTGTTAAATTCAACAGAGAGGGATCTGCTAAGGGATATAATAGTGTGAAAGTAAAAGCCATCATTGCTATGAGCCCAGAAAAAGATTACAGGATCATGTGTACTTTTCCTTTCCTTTTATGAATTAGAAAATGAAAAGCAATGTATCTCAAAGCACAATCAATTTAAAGTAGGCTAGGTTTAAAAGTAGTGAGTTGTAAGCCTCCACCCTCTCTTGAAGGAGATCATGATAAATTGGATTTGTGTGGATGAGTGGAAGAAATAGAGATAAATGCTTCAAGTGATAGCAGCACTTTGCAGAATTTTTACTCAATTACTTGTGGGTAATCTTATCTTCAGTGTATGCTCCTAGCAAAGCAAACTAACCAGCAATGACCGCAATCTTATTTTTGATACTTTTAGCCAATCTAGCTCATAATTACTTATATTAGTGAGTCCAAGATGTGGTCCACTTTATCTAAAATGCTCTCAGTTTCTGGAGAAATCATTTTGCATGTTATGTTGCTGAATTCTCTTTAACTTTTATTTGATATAGATAAAAAAAAAATATGTCTTCAAAGCTGAACATTAAAACCAGGCTGTTTGAATTCTTTAGATTTATTAAATATTTTTGTTAGAATGCACCCTGTCAACAAACCTTTAGTGCCATATTACATCAGAACATGGGTGATCATGGCTCTCCATATCTTCCTATCCTTTGTCACCCTAAGTAATGTTTGACCCCTTAATATCCTTCCCAGTCCCTGTTCTACCATCTATTTACATCAGCTCATTATGTTGGTTATTTGATGACCCCTCTTGCCTTCAGTATGTCCTGTGAGTGTTAAATTCTCCAAGAAGTCTGTTCATTATGTATCCCAGAAAGTTCAAGTCTCTCTTTTTGATTCTCAGTACAAGAGTTCTTTATGTTCAAATTCTCCTTAAAACCTTCTTTCTGATCACATGTTCCAGCAATGGTATTCTCAGCTGTAGAACTCCATATCTGTTGACTCAAGTCTCTGAGGAAATTGTCCTGCATTTGTTTGTTTATTTTGTTGGCTTTACGATATATCAACCCAATGGGTCATTTAATGTTGAAATTTAATATTTTTTATAAATAAAGCCTTGTATTTAAACAGTGAAATAAATGGTGTTTTTTTTTCTATTTATAATAGTAAAACTGCTGTTAGGGTTATATTTTTTTAAAACTATATTTTTGATGTCAGTTTAATTTCTCTTAGAAACTGGAATATGTAAAGTGGATCATTATTTTGAAAAAGTTCTCTTAATATCTTCTTCTATTTCTGAGATGAAGTATTGTAATTATTTACACTATTTACATTGTTCAGACAGTTGTTCTCATCTTTGTTGCCATATCCACATTTTGGCTGTTGTACACTCTGGCCTTCTTCAGGTGATTGAAACTAGAGCAATTTACCTCAATGGACAAAATACAGGGTTCAGTTTGAAATTCCAATCACCTGAAGAAGGCTGGAGCATACAACAGCTGAAACATTGTGAATATGGCAACAAAGATGAGGAAAACGGTCCAAACAAACA